CTGACATTCGGTGATATTTTTTCGGCCGACAGCCGAAAGGGCCTTTTTAACCATTTTCGGCCGATAATTTTCGGTGGCCGAATATTCGGTGCATCCCTAATGGAAACCAAACAATGGTGTAGCTGTAATAAAGTTCGAGTGGAAACAGTCGTGAGTAAATCTGATTTTGTCAGAAATCGGGAGAAATGCGGGAGAAATATGACCCCGGGAGGAAACCGGGAGAGGGCAATGAAATCGGGAGTCCCCCCCGAAAATCGAGAGGGTTGGCAAGTATGTGCATATCATGGATTATCAAGGATTCTCTCTGAAACAGTTTGGAGCTCAAAGGCTTTCTCTCTTGCCGGTTATACCACACGTTCAGAGGATGAAGCTGTCTACTAATAACAAACTCCAGTGTTATAACTCCATACTCATAAATAAAGTCACAGTATTTAGTTGTACTTTTATTCTAATTAACTGTAAAATATATACAGTAAATTACTGTGAAATATTTACAGTCAATTACTGTGAAATATTTACAGTAAATTACTGGTAGCCAGCAATTTTACAGCCAAACATTTTACTGTGTGTACAGTGTTGGAAAATAAGTGTATTTACTCAATTTCACATTTGAGATAATTAAACTTTACCCAAGTATTTACATTGTATACTACTTTATACATGTATTCTACTGAATTTTGGAAGCAAATACAACAATACATCACGTTTATTTTACAGATGTATTTATTACACTGTAAAATGTTTGGCTGTAAAATTACAGTAAATTACTGGCTACTAGTTGCATGGATTTCACAGTAATTTACTGTATTTTACAGTTAATTAGAATAAAAGTACAACTAAATACTGTGACTTTACAGTTGCCATGCCCATGGAATTACTGTGATATAGCAGTACAGAGCTGTGGTATTATGGTACCTTGCTGTACATAAATTACAGTAATTACCTGTATGTTCACACTATTACTGTAGAAGTAATGCAACACAGTAGCCAGTAATTTACTGTAAATATACAAATCTAAATAATACGATAATATATTGTAAATTTGACTGAGATTGTACCATAACTCAATCAGCTCAATCAACAAAGAAAAACAAAGAAAATGCCCATTTTAACTTGTTATTACTCCATTGAAGTGCAAAGTACATTTCACAGTGTCTTGGAAATGTTGTTACGGCCCCAACCTCTACTCCGCGGTCGTGGCTTGTGCTGAGACCCGCAACATGAAAGAATACACGCAATAACCGGTACCGGTTTGCTCACACAAGCGAAACGGGAAACAAAAAGAGGTCTGGAGGAGTGGCCAAAAGGAACAAACAGAAGGAGGGAACCCGAGCCAGCCACACCACGGGCCGTAGGACCCAGAGCTCCCCCACCTAACCAGAAATCAAATATAAACCCTATGGGAAACAAAATAAAGCCGCGGAAACGACTACCAGGTCCTTCAAGGCTAAACATAAAGACACCTGCAAAAATATGGCCTACAGGTCAGAATGGCAACGAGGTATTCTAAGGACAGTGTCTCCGGCGTTAGGACAGGCGAGACATCCTTCTCCTCCAGCTTCTCTTTATATATACACATGGCTGAGTGGAATTTGGAACACCTGGGCAGAGGCGGAGCCAGGGGCAGACCAGGTGCACCTGGGCAGAGGCGGAGCCAGGGGCAGACCAGGTGCACCTGGGCAGAGGCGGAGCCAGGGAGACAGAAAACAAGGAGGGGAGCACTTAACACATGTCTACACAGACATCCACTCAAAGTCAACAATTGTTCTGAAGAATGTGCTGACATGGGGGTTTAAATTGCCATGCCTCTTTTTGGCTTTCGAGTCCGTCTCAGGATTAATGCCCAGGAAGCAATGTTGCCTCATTTATTTTAAGGCACATGCAGCGGTGCCCCTTTCAATTTAAGTAAAACCTGCACCAAAGAAATAAATTAGTATTTAAAGCCAAGCAAGAGCGATAAAAGCAAGAAAATCACTTAATTTGTTGTGTTATCCCAGAGGATGGTCTGAATACAGTATTTTACTGTGAAATAATACAGTAACATGTTGTGAAATCCTGGAAATCATTGATCCTGTACATTCACAGTAATTAACTGCTGTGCCTGTATTGATTTC